GGGTGCCACTAGGATCAAAGACAGGCTCTGTCCGCGCACCCTCTCTAGTACAAGTGGTATCATTTCCACTGGGGGAACGCATACAGAAGTACATCGGGCCAAGGACGAGTTGGGCGTCCACTCCCAGAGGAGCGCTCTGCTCTGTCATGGAAAAGAACAGAGGACAGTGTATGTTTACTCTGGAGGTAAACAGATCTACTGCAGCTTTGCCAAACAAAACCCAAATCTGAGCCACCACAGTGGGATGCAGCCTCCACTCCTTTGCTAGAGGTCYWCGCCTGGAGAGGAGGTCTGGACCTAGKTTCAGTCTCCCCGGAACATGAATGGCTCTGATAGAGAGAAAATGAACACTGCTCCACTGTAAAAGAATGTGAGACAGGTTCAGCAGGGGAAGGGACTGAATCCCCCCTTGTCTGTTTATATAAGAGACCACTGCTGTGTTATCCGTTCTGATTAGAAGATGATGGTTCTCCAGAACTGGACAAAAATGTTTCAGTGCTAACAGGACTGCTAACAATTCTAGGCAGTTTATGTGGAGCCTGGACTGTTGTGGAGTCCAGGTTCCCCTCACTGCTGCGCCTTCGCACAGGGCTCCCCAACCTTTCAGGGAGGCGTCTGTGGACACCACTTTGGGAAACGACACCCTCCCTATTGGAGAACCCTGATACAGGAGGCCGGGTTCCCTCCAGGGGCTGAGAGCCATCATGCAGGAAGCAGTTATTGTTAGCTTTTTGTGTCTGTGTCGAGATGGACACAGCCTGTGGGACTGAGACCAACGCTGAAAATGGCGCATTTTTAACAGCCCGAGTGGTACTACTGAAAACATGGAAGCCATCAGTCCAAGTAACTGTAGTACGGTTTTGAAGATCAGTTTGCGTCCCAGTTGAAACTGAGCTAAGCAGCGGTGAAACGCGGCCGCTCTGTTTTCTGAGAGGCGAGCCCTGCTTGACAATGAGCAGATTTCTAGTCCGAAGAACGAAAACTGCTGACTTGGTGTTAATAGACTTTTCTGGGTGTTTACTAAAAACCCTAAAGCCTGAATGTGTGACAGAACCTGAGACAGCTGATCTAATGTTTGCTCCTTGGAGCTTGCGATCAGAGCCCAGTCGTCTAGATATGCTAACAGACGGACCCCCCTTTCCCTGAGAGGAGTCAACGCAGATTCTACACACTTTGGAAAGGTGCGGGGAGCTAGCGATAGACCAAACGGTAGCACCAGGTACTCGTAGGCTACACCCTCGAAGGCGAACCTGAGATATTTTCTGTGCTCYRGGTGAATCGCTATGTGAAAATAGGCGTCTGTTAAATCGATGGTCGCAAACCAATCGCCCGGGCTGATCTCAGTTGGATTAAATAATTGGAATGTATCGTTTACATGGACACAATCCGATCATGACGAGTGTTTACATGCACCAGGCTTTTATCCAGAATAGAAACACTGGCATGTGCAGTTGCTAACTTTCCCTTAAAAAAAACAGAAAAAATGTCTGCTTTTGTCATGAACATAAACAAACAAGATTCTGAGTGCTCAGAATGTACCTGCGAGACGTTACTGCAATCTCTGGTTGAGCTACAGATGATGCTCTGACTTTTTTTTTTTTTTTTGTGAAGTGGCGCAAACTGTGTGTCTTCCTTCTTTATTGAATGAGAAAACTGGAGGAAACGTTTTATGCTGCTGGAAACTACAGCACTGCTGTCCCTCCCTCCACAAAAGAGCAGAAACCAGTGGATGAAAGTCAGCAGACATGCGCAGTCAGGTCAGTTTTCCACAATCAGAATAAAATGATCAGATTAAGTGTTTACATGCACGCTGTTCGGATTATCAATCGGCATAAACCACCTCTCTCATTCCGATTACAAATTCATTCAGATCGAGCTGAATCGTGTCAGAATGATCCGAATAGGGTTTTTATATGACGCGTTTTTATTCCGAATGGCCGTTGAATCCGATTTGCTTATGTCCATGTAAACGTAGCTGCTGTCTCGTTTACAAGAGAGACCTGTTTTGTACTTCTGTTATGTTCATTTGCACTACAGCAAAAATGCTGGGTTTGACTATGATTACAGTTTTCTGCAAAATAAATGCTCTAAAAATTACATTATCTTTGCTTTTTATGATAATTTTCTACTGCGATATATACCATTACCGTGAAGGGATTCAATTTATACCGTGATATGAATCTGAGGTCATACCACCCAGCCCTAGTTTTTTGCTTGGTGACTTGAAGATGACATTCCATTGGATCCCACAGGGAACAAATTTTAGACTCCCTTCTTCATCAAAACCACTACAATAAAAGTAAACAAGCTGAATAATAATTATCAATGCACTCAGCATAAACATGGAGTACAGGACTAGGTACATTTGAAATATGATGTTTAAAACCTTTGATATTTTGTCTTTTTCACTGCAACCATTTGACAACCCCCCATTTGAGGCCTCAGGAATCACTGCTCCAGACAACATAAACCAGTCTTATCTCAACAGGAAATTTGAGAATCAGCAAATAAATCCTGAGCTGTAGGAGAACCTCCACACCAAGAATGGAGCATAATAACTTAAAGCACACTTCTAGAAAAGTTCCAACATACAAACAACAGCATGTGTGTGTYGCACTGCTCGTTCTCATTAAAGTTATTTTTGTATTTTCCCACGCTGGTATAAACATTTAAAACATGCTTGCTTTCACATCTGTGCCAACCCAATATAAACACAGTGCCTGCTGGAGAATGTGCTCACCAGCTCGGTTTTATCGTAGCTTCTTGATTTAAAGCAAAGGTCATKATTAAACATTAACCCAACATACAGTGACTTCAGTACAACAGAATGACATTTGACCAACTGGATGGATTTTAAACCCCTCTGAGATGCTGACTAATCAAAGAGATGAAGGCTGGTTAGAGCTTTTGTGAGGAAAGCATTAAAGCATCAAATATACCTCTTTTAGGCCTGCACAGACTTAAACTTTTTATCATTTAGGACCTGAACCTGATCTGTTTATACAGTTCAGGCACTATAAAGAACTTTGATCTGTCAGTCTGCCAGGCGCTGTGTTTATAGGTGCATCAGAGCAACTTATAGTTCAGCGTTTACGATGATGTCTCTGGAAGAAGTGACCCAGGCTGTACAGGATGTTCTACAGCTGCTGCTGACACTATATTTTTTTACAAATAACTATAAAATGCTATGTAGGTAAGAGTGTGATGGGCAGCACAGCATGGTGGTGCAGTTAGTACCACCATGTTGTCGCAGTATCGCAAACTGGTCCGGGACCTTTCTGGGTGGCGTTTGTACATTCTCTCCTTGCATGCATTGATTTCCTCCAACAGAACAGAAACATGCACGTTAGGCTGATTGGTAACTCTACATTGGTTCTGTAATGCACCAGCAACCTGTCCAGGCGTACTCCACCTCTCGCACAACGACTGCTGGACRGGYACCAGCGACCACGGCAACCCAGACAGGAAAACTGGGTAAAGATAAACAGGCTCTGTAAATGATCTTAAGTCTCTTTTTAAAACTCATCTTTTTTAAACAGGTGTTGGAGTCTGAAGAGCACGATCATTAGGCCAGCCATGGTTTTTGTTTCATTTCATTGTTCATCCTGTGTCAACCCTGTACTGTTTGTATTTTATGTTCCTGTACAGCGCTTTGGTTTTTATTGGGCTTTATAAATAAACGATGGATGGATGGATGGATGGATGGATGGATGGATGGATGGATGGATAATAGTGTGAAATGAGATTAACAGCACTGTAAAGGTTGTAAAGTGTTTGTCTGAACCACTATAAATAATTTTTAAGATTAGTGTTGCTTCAGTCCACCTTGGTGTGGACCCCACTCATTAGCTCATCAGTCCAGTCAGAACAGGTGAAACATGCAGTTTTTACACACATTCACCAGTGAGACAAGGTCAGAGCTCAGTCAGGAACAGAAGTCTTGCTTAGCTGCCATTTTTATTGCTAAAACAGGGACTATTAGTTTATGCCTTGGTTATTAATTTATTATAAATTTTGGCTGCAGCTGGTAGTTAATACTGAATATATTTAGGAGTTATAGTGCATTGAGATGTTAAGTACTTATCTGTGTTATTGTGAATGCTGATGTCCCACAATGATATTTACCATGCTGGGTTTTGCATCATTGAAGCACATTTTTTTATTTATTTGTGGTGTTTTTGTATTTCTGAATCAATATTTGAACATTGTGTTGGCCATGTTCCCGTATTTTTGTTTA